GTTTGGTATGATCTGTTTCTATAAATGCCATCCAAACACTTTTATTGTTTTCTTGAGTTAGGGTTATGAAATAGGATCTACTAAATGAGAAGTCATTGTCAGCTGATACAAATTGGACAATTGGTTTTCATGGAGAAAAGAAAGTTGTCCTCTGGGACTTTTATAAAACAGAAGTGACCACTGTTCTTTTTTCCTTAAGCAATCCTTCTAAGCACCGTGAGCGATGATGTTGTCCAGTTCGATATCTTAGCCCGGGAACAAGTCTGTCGTCGGCCGACATTGTGCGGGCAAACGAAAAATAACGAAGCCAGCGTCCTTACTTAGGAAACACTTGTCCCAGAAATCTAATCTTTGCCTCATTTTTTACCCAACACCCCCCGCTCTAATCAGGTTTCAATTGACCGCCATTGAAGGAAGAGTCTCTCCTCAGACTCTTGTATAGGTCCGAAACCCAGTCAGACACCATTTAAGGCTTACTCAGTCTTCCTCCCAATATCTCGGAGAGCTCAGGGCCAAATGATTTAATCTTCATTCAGCTAATTTAGTCTGGATTTAAGCTGCCGGGTTGTCGAAGTGCAGAGTGATGGAGTCTGAAAGGGGAAAGGGAGAGGAGGGGAAAAAGGAAGGAGGGAGGGGAACAGAGATGAGAGAGATAAAGATGGAGGGAGGGAGAAAGAGAGAGAACAGAGAGGGAGATGGGGGCTGAAGATGATGATCCATCCTGACCCTAGTGAATGCTGTCATGTTCCTCCCTCTAGGTAATCTCTCTCACTCGCTCGCTATTTTGCATGTGAAAATGCTCTCCTGACAGTTGCATATCAGATACATTTTTCTCCCTTTTTTTCTCCCCCCCCTCCTTTCCCTTCGCCAAATAAACAACAGTCTTCACTTTGAAGTTGTCTGTTTGTGTCAGTTTGGCTCGAGGCGAGAGTCGGCCTCTCTCCTCTCTTTTCTGTCTTTGTGTTGCAGTGCGAGAGCATCGGAGGATTATTCCCTCTCACCCACCAACCGGCCAACACGAAATGGAAAGGCAATCCAAAAAAGACAGAAACATAATTAATAAAATCAATTAAAAAACATGCCAATAGATTAGTATGATGTGCCAACACTTGCCGTAAGGAGGAACAGGGGTGTCTGTTCTGCCTTCTGTAAAAAAGTCTTTTTTTTACGATGCAGTGAAATTAATAATGTTCATCTTTGTTGTCATTCAAAACTGGCCTCTTTTGAACAAGATGTTTGTTTATTTGTTACCCAGAACACACATTTACAGTTACCCTGCAAGATCCCCCTCAACAAGCACCACCGCACCACTTGGTGGCGATAGTGAGTGAGTGGTTTCGACTAAAGCCCTTTCTCCAACCCCTGTTAGAGTACAGTAACTGCTCCTGAGGGATTTCTATCACAATGAAGGCCAGTGTGGCTTGTGATGTTCTGACAGTAGCCCTATATGCCTGAACTGATGACAGGATCACACCACAGTATAGATATGGTAATGAGTGACAGTATAGACACTGTAGCATGCAGATTTTCTCAACGTACAGGCAAGAGGCCCACCTGGGTCTTTGAATAAATCTGCACGGGGTGTCAATCGTGTCGCCTGGCTTTGTGATCAGAAGGGGAAAAGAAAGGGAGGAGATGGAAGGATGCAGGAAAAAAGAGGAGCAGAGATTTAATGACTGGAAGTAGAAATGATTCACAATTACAGTTTATTCCCCGCTGTGTCATCAGAGCTTGACCGCTATGTGAAAAAGCCAGTTGATGCAAAACGAAAGCTATTATTCTAATGAATGGTTTTTCCCTATTTGCTCTCTTATCTTTTTATATTCTTGTTGCTCTAAGATTGCTGATCGTGGTTTGGTCTTTCCATCAAGACCATCACAGATTCCTTTTACTTGGATTGTTTCTACAACTTCTTTACTTATATACCAATGTGGCGAAACTGATCTCAGCACCTAAAACATGCTTAGGCACACATGATCGTTATTGTAATGTCAGCAGTCAGTTAGTCATATTTACATCTTATTTCATTCTCATACTTTTGCATTTGCCTTAGGGAACCTGTGTAGACTCAAAGCCCTGGTTTCAGGGATCAAATACTTTTCTCTTGACGTGCACAAAACTATTCTACTCAACTATAAAAAGTACATGCATCTATTTTTTCTTTAGAAGTCATTGTATAATTGCGTATGTGATGTGAAATTGCTTTAGACCTTTCAATCTTTAATAGCCATTTGTTGCACTCGGGTACTTGAGATATATCTAGAAATTATAAAAACTATAATTCCAGAATTTCTCTCAAGCTGTTTTGAATCCTAAACCAGGTTGCTTCAGCAGAATTTCTGAATCAAACGTGGTTGTTTTGTTGGTTTTGAATTCCATTTGCGAAAAGCATTCTAAAATGATATTCTAAATTGGCAGACCTCTCTTTTCTCTCTTACTCCTGTCTCTTTCGCTTTCTCCCTCTTTTATGCATACACAAATTCACTCAACCTCTCTTCCTCCTACCTTCGGTGTGTTTTGCATGGTAGCTGGCTGTTTAGAGGCAGTATGCATATGTATGGGCGAGACGGTGGATCGTGACGGGATCTGACATGCGGGGACAAGATCAAAGCGCTCCATCTGATCCCATAAAAACAGACGCAAACCCTCCTCTCATCCTTACAAAACCCCCGCTGATAGTCGACTCTGCCAGCCCGACTCCTCCATCTTCTCTCCTCTCCCTCCTGCCTTTATTTTCTCCCTCCATCCCAGGGTGCCCACGTCAAGGCCTGCCCGACTTTGCGATTACGCCCCGTGATAAACAATGGCCCGTTTAGCTCATAAAGTAGGAGTGTTGTGCATAATGCTTACAATAAAAGATAGCATCTCTTCACTCATCTTATTTACCTCTCCCACGGTGGCACGGGCGACGAGCTGCTCCATATAAATACCGCAGGGAGTGAGGAAAAACGGAAGGGAATAATGATGCAGACGTACATCTGTTGGTCAAATGAAGTAGATGAGAACTATTTTAAATCTGCATTCAAGCTTAGAGCCAGGTGATAAAGGCGCCATCTTAAAGCCGCTCCATCCTTCCTGGTAAGTGAGCTTAAAATGTCCTCTCAACTGGATGACATCCATATCACATTCAGATTCATCTTTATGGAACATATAGATTGATATGGAAGCCAGAACACATTTTCCTTTATATCTCTCTTTCTCTCTCCACCTCCCCATCTTTTAATTCCCTCCTTTTCCTCCCTCCCTCTCATTCTCCTTTTGCCCCCCCCACCATCCTTCCTCCAGTAAGGAAGATGTATGAGTTTGAATTATTGATTCAGACACATGCTACATGCTGCTTGGAGTCATTATTTGTTCAGGTGAGTGTCATGCTGCTCGCTATGAAACAGATACCACGGGGATTAAGCGACACAATCAGGACTTAAAGACAGCCGCCCTCCCTAAAATAACATGGCCCTCGCCGCAAGACAAATGCTCCCCAAAACCCGACTTCATTTGTTTATGACTCGCACATTAGTCATCCTGTGCCTAAATTATATCGCGGAGGGTAAAGATTAATTCAAGCACAGGCTGCTTCTATTGTTTTTACCCGTGTGCGTTTCTTGAAGCCTAATAACACAGCAGATGAATATAGGTGCAAACATCCTACACATTGTCAACAAAATAAAACCTTTTGTTGGGTGGTAGGTGTCGGGATAAAGAACAGACGGATGTCCAGAGTAAAGAAAACAACACTATGCCTAGGTGCTATAAACTTGCCTTGCCTTGCTATACAATAGTCACATTTTCTTCATCTTGAAGAGACACACACAACATGTGATGAATAGGGCTTTGTATTAATTGGAAGGATACTGGATACCCAAAGCTGAACTCAGCTTTTTTTTAGGAGAGCAGAGGATGGAATGAAACTTTTGTAGGAGGTGTGACACAGTTGGAGAAAATGTCCCGCTGGTTTGTAAACTCTAGGGTTGGGCTTTACGTTGATGGGTAGGGATAACTCATCTGACTGTGACGGTCTCCTGGCAGCTTTCTTCGGCGTATGGATAACATTTTGTGCGTCGGGGCCTCTTAAGCACTGATACCCTGCTTTCTATACAAACATGTTCTTGCAAAGACAATGGAGGCTAAGTGTCAGACCGTTATCACAGACTATCGTGGTAAGCCTAGTTTGTTAAAGTTAAAATGGCGGGAAGCTCTGATACGGGAGCCTTAAGAGAGAAGCGGGAGGTAAAATGTTGCTAACTGTTCATTTAGCCCAGGCTAAGTGGTCAGGGATGCTGGACAGGTGAACTATATTCCCCCCACTGGCCCTGCGGGGTGTGTGTGTGTGTGGACTGTAACAGAATTTCTCTAGTCCTCTGGGCCCTGGTGCAAAGCAGAGAATAAATGGTGGAGGTGGCAGGCCAGGACAGAAAAATCAATGCCTGCTTATACAGACATGACACACCAGCAGCCAACTGCATTGTGTGTGTGTGTGTGTGTGTGTGTGTGTGTGTGTGTGTGTGTGTGTTGTGTGTGTGTGTGTGTGTGTGTGTGTGTGTGTGTGTGTGTTGTGTGTGTTGTGTGTGTGTGTGTGTGTGTGTGGTGTGTGGTGTGTGTGTGTGTGTGTGTGTGTGTGTTTGTGGTGTGGTGTGTGTGTGTGTGTGGTGTGTGTGTGTGTGTGTGTGTGTGTGTGGTGTGTTGTGTGTGTGTGTGTGTGGTGTGTGTGTGTGTGTGTGTGTGTGTGTGTGTGTGTGGTGTGTGTGTGTGGTGTGTGTGTGTGTGTGTGTGTGTGTGTGTGTGTGTGTGTGTGTAGATGTACCAGCCACACCAGTCATTTGGCCATGTACGAGTACCCAGCAACCCCCATTTCCTCCCTCACAAGGTAGATCGTCTAGCATTTTACGTCAGCTTTGGGATCAGTAAATAACTCTTCGTTTTTTTCCTCTCCCCCTCCCCCTCCTCCTCCTCCTCCTCCTCCTCCTCATCATTCCCCTCTGCCTACCTCTCTACTCCTGCAGGAAGTTTGAATGCGAGTTGTGCGATCGCTCCTTCAGTGAAAAATGGGCCCTGAACAACCACATGAAACTACACAGTGGGGAGAAACCGTATAAGTGCGCCTGGCCGTCCTGCCACTACGCCTTCCTCAACCTGTCGGCCATGAAGGACCACTATAGGACGCACACAGGTGAGACAACGAGAGCCAGTAACCTCAACCATAAAGCATTACTCCCAGACTCCTCCACAAACACAACGACAGTCAATCTAAACTGCCACAATACTTTTAACTGGCAAATAGTGTTCTTAGGAGTTTGGGACAAAAGGTTATTTATCGAGAAACTCTATACTTGGCTCAAACTAAATGAACTTTTTCTTTCTTCTATAGCTCTAGACACAATAAATAGCGTGTTAACTGTGAAAATCTCACATTAATTATGATTCTTCACAGCTTTGTTTGGAAAAAAAAACATACACACATTTTTGGCTGACAAAAGCCATGACTTGTCCATCTGTAGTGATTTCTCAACATCCAGAGACAGTCGGGCACCATTTCTTGGCGGTATTACAGATAGTCTTGTCGGATTTGAATACAAATGATAGGGAAAACATGGATTTAATGTTTGTTTTTGTTTTCTGCCATCCTTCAGAGTTTTAGAGGGTTGCTTGATTAGAGAATTGAGGTAGTGTTTATTCCCCAATTCCAACTTGTTGTCATGTGTATTTCCCCAAAATCCATCTGGTCACCAAGCACGTCTTTCCATAACCCAGCTGGTCAGCGAGTGTGTTCATGGAATCCATCTGATCCTCGAGAGTGTGTTTTCCCACATTGAAACGGGCCAGTGTTCATTTCTCCATGTTGCAAAATAGGAACAAAAAGAAAGAAAGACTGAATGCCAACAACTCGATAAAACAATAAAAGGAAACTTTGTATTGAAGTAATTGGGTATTGTTTTTTTTTTTATACATTCAGTGCTTTTTCTTTCAAATTCCATTGGTCTTAAAGTATAGTACACTGTGGGTCTGCTTTTTTTTTTACTTCCTAAAAGCTTTGGATAGACAGATGGTGCGGTGGGCGGTGGGAGGATACTGTCTTGAATAATAGCCCCTCGATAGAAGCCCCAGTCAGGCTCTCTGAAAGTGTCTTTATGCTGCAGCCCAGCAGTTTCCCCTCGGCCTCGGTAATGTCCCACACACGGCTCTTTGATGCCCTTTTAAGTCAATGACAGAAGCAGCAGCCGCCAGTGGCCTGACAGCCTGACTGAGCGCTTGCAGGAGAGCCCTCCATCCGTCACGGGGGCCTGCTGTGTGTGCGTGTGTGTGTGTGTGCGTGTGTGAGGGACTTGCTGGATGTTTTTTTAAATGTGTTTTAACAGTGATGTAACGTCAAGGCGCCTCTGACATAATTAGACGTTTTATTTTCATTTGTTTCCAGCCCTCATCATTCCCCATCAGGCGGCTGGCGTACAACTGTCACCAAGCTGTCACCTGGTGTGTGTGCGTATGTGTGCGTATTTGCGTCTTTGTGTTAGTTTGGCAGGAGGAAACAGACTTTAAGAGAGTGAGTGAAGTGATTGAGATGGAAACAGAATAGTGATGAAATAAGAGAGCTTGTAAGACCAAGGGTTACAGAGAACGAACATATGAAAATAGGAGTATTAAGATAGAACCTGAGACAGCCTCATTTCAGTGAGCGACAAGAACTGACTTGATTAGCAACATCCAAAAAAGCTAACACAATTCTGCTTTACTGTGACCCCCGACACTCCTTTCACCAGTTGTAATTGCTGCCAGGGTCGGACCGTTAGCTGCAGCTATACAATCATCGCAATCACATTCCAGCAGCCAACCTGACACACTGAAATATTATATGCATGTGTGTGATCTGTTTAAAGGTTATAAATCGGCTCCTTCACGGCACTAAAATGCAATACTAATAAAATAAGTGGGAGATTTCAAAGTTTGAGCTAATCTCGCCTGGGAACAGAGCCGTCAGTAATGTGACTTACAGTCTGTCTGTGTGTGTGTAAGTGTGTGTGTGTGGGTAAGTGTGTGTGGGTAACAGAACAATGACTAACTGGGGAGTTTGAACTGAATGATACACACATCTAGCTCATTATTCAGAACTCTTAAAAATGCAAAGTCTCTTAGTGAAGAAAGTACTTTCTATGAAGGACGATATAGTGGGACGTTTTGAATGAGTTATTTTTTTGTGAAGTGTGTGAAGAATAAGGGAGGTTGCTTTAATCCCTTAAAACAACATTTCTAATCCCATAGATCACCAGTCAATGGTATGATCTGGAGTAATCGCAAAATCATACACACAATTTTAGATATACAATATACATCATGAATGATGCACTAGAAGTACAACTGCTACATTTTGATACCACTTTGAATGACAAAGATTGCATAGCTGTTGCTTAACTCGACTACGGACCTCAATTGTAAACCGCTACTAAGGATGGCAGCAGACATGCTTTTGTCTTCTTAACAAATGGAGTCAGTTTTCATAGGACTTAAGTAAGATTGAAACACTGTCTATAAAGAGTGTGAGTTTTATTTAGCCTTTTCCAAAAAATAACAAATGTGAAACATTTTGGCCCTGAAACATGCAGATTGTATCCTCAGTCTACAAATCAAATCCAAGTACTTTAGTAATCCCAGGGGAAATTGGGCTTCGTGAGAGTTGCACCATATTAGAATAAAATCAGTACATGTTTATATAAACATACATTGAAGTAAAAACTTCTAATACAAGTAACATGTTACTGTGTATCTAGTAGTGATTGCATATTTAACACCATTTTACAGGGTTCCTGTTTTAAAATAAGTCAATTAGGAGTGACTTAGTACTTACTTAGCTAGCTACAGCTGTTAAAGCTAGCTACATTTGTCTTTTCATCCGGCAAATTGATGGAAAGTATATAGAAATGCAAAGCTTGGGTCTACCCGTTAACCCAACCTGGTTTGTACCGAGGCTGAGTTCTTACCACTTGCCTTGGTTTGAATCCAACTTGTCGCACTTTGCCCTCTTCCTCGCCCTTTCTAATCACCAGCTGAACTATCCAACAAAGTCAAATAGCCAAAGAAATCTTTAAAACTTAATGTTTTACATTTGGGTCAAAAAGTTAAATCTGACTGACATCAACTAAAAGGGACAGTTTCTAGCAAATTGTCAGGCAAATAAACACTTGATGAAAGAAAATAAAACAATACATATTTTTTATTTGCTCTCACTACTACATTTGGGCCTAACAAACAACCAAGAATAAGCAGCCCCTGAATGAAAATGTCTGATTTCACCATCCTGTGGATACCCCCGTCCCCCCCTAAAAAAATTAAAGTTAACACCTCCGCTCTCCCTCTCCTGCCTCTAACGGGATCCATTGTTCTTCTCTGATTTGTGTGTTTTTTATGTTAATCACTCCCTCCTCACACACCAGTCGTGTCTGAGGGGCGGGGGCGGGGGATTCAGTGGTCGTCAGCCGCCAGGGTCATTTGTAAGGGCTGATGAATGAGCGACTCAAATAAATAAATAAGTGCACTGAATCTGACCCACCCAGCTTTTCCCAGGCTCTTGGGCATTGGGGGGGGGGGGCTGAGATAGGTTGAACACAGCGACAGGGCCACAATTGATTTCCTCATTGCTTCAGTTTGTCGCTTAATCTGGCGATATGCTGATAAATCTTCGCACTTTGTCAATTCATTTCCCTGAAAAATGAGACCCAAAATGGCGAGCACATCAATACAGCAGCGGATTCCGTGTCAAAAATTAAGCGGTAAAATTAATTGCCCTCCCATCCGCTCCTGCTAAAACATAACTAATGAGGGAGGCAATTATAGCTGCATGCAAGCGCCTCTGGGGTTATTTAAAACACACATACACACACACAGACTCACATATATACTGTATAATACACACTATATGTACACACATGCAAAGAAAGGTTGTATATTTTGACTTCAAAGTCCTTTTTATTGTCTTGCATTAAAGGCATATATTTAATTCCTGGAAGAGTTGGTGGGTTGAAGTGTATCATGGGAACAAAAGAGGAGAAATGATGAGCCAATATTCAAAAAGTGTAAGTGCTCTAAGTGCAAACACATTAGCAGGACATTTAGTTTTTTAGGGTATTTTAGTGTCTAGACTTGGTACACTGAGTCTTTTATGCTTTTCAACAGGTTTTTTTTGTCCTATATATCCTTAATTTGTTTTTGTTTGGTGGTTGATTAAGTTAAGGTAAGTGTGAGATTGAAGTTAGAGGCTAATGTGGCTCTAGGGTTAATGTTGCATAAGGTTAAGGCAGAGGTTATTTAGTGTCGTCTTTTGCGGTGAATCAGAAAGGAGTGAAGTCTATGCAAGCTTGTGTCCTGGATGGGGGTCCACCTTGCTTTGACCGCATCCTCCAGCGTTGACAGCAGCGTGTCACTCCCCCCCAACCCCAACTCGCCGTCCCCAACCCAAGTCCCTCAGAGGGCTGACCGCCACGGAGCAGCAGATGAAAAGCACACATGTAATTTATCGCCAACGTTTCCTCCTCAAGAATAATTGTGGCGACCGCGGCTGGTAGCAGGGATCGATGGCTATGGATTTTTCTGCGGTGGGGTCTTGTAGCGTTGGCCATAATGAGAGATGGAAGGCAGGAAAGGAGGAGGGACCCGGGTGGTTTTTCTGATAGGGAGAAAAGGTCTGACCAGATCCTCAGTAACTATTCCAGAAAATACAGAACACTGGACGACTTTTTGTTGGTCGGTTTTGATGGTCCTACACAATCACAAAATGATCTGCCAAAGTTTGGGCAAACAGTTTTAAATATCACATAGAGTTCTGGAGAGTTTTGTTTGTCATTCTCTTCTAGAAAGGTTTATAGTGGGCAGCCACAAAAAGCCCTATTTAGGATATTACCTTATTTGTATGAAAATGTGACGCCAGTTGCAAGTTTTCGCAACGTTTTTGACCGGAGTCATGAACAATATCCAAACATGTTTTTTACTTAACTTTTCTTTTAGTTTAGTCATGTATATAGGGTTAGGGTAAGGGCTAGATAGATATTGATTTGAAACAGAATGTTAGGGTTTGAAATATCAATAATGTCCTTCCCCCCTCCATCTATGGGGCTGAGTTGTGATTCCTGCAGTGTTTCTGATAGTTATAGTTCATTTGTCAATTAGGGTGATGTATCCTTCCTTATTGCTTATGTTTATTCTACCTAGTTTGTTTCCATTTAATTTAAGCAAAATGCTAGTTCTTTCTTTTTTCATTAAGTTATATTTCTTAACCAAGAACATCCCACATGAGGTATTTGGATCAGCAAATGTAAAGGGTGACTTAAAGCGGCCACAGAAAGCAGCAGAATGGCCGTGTTATTATATGAAAACCTTGTTCCCTTAAAGGTCATTCACGCTGGGATATAAAAAGTGAACCTGGACCGAATGCACCTTTTCCAGGCTGTTTTTCTCCCCCTCTAAGTGGCACTGCATTACAACTCTTCTCACAGTCGAGTGGCTTTCAATGGGTGTAATAGAGGAAACTTGAGGCTGCTTTGTCTCTGCGGACCCGCTGAAAGCTGCTATCTGTGCAGAAGAGCAGCAGAGGCCCAGCTGGAAGAGTCACCCAAATGTGTTATCAGCGTGTGGCGAGAGTTCAACATCAGCATTCAGATGAATATTTAGGCGATGGGGATCTCGGCTGCACGTGATGCACACAGCTGCAGCGCTTGTGTCTGTATGTTAGAACGTGTGCTGCCTACGGTGATTCCATGTATGTGCGGAAACTTGCTGACAGACGACACATGCACTTTGATGTGTGTGTGGGAAGATACAACACTGACTATAACAGTCTTGTGCAATAACCACTGCTATATCCACTCAAATACAGTTTATTATCATTACTGACTGCTACCTCACACACTTGATCTGTTCATGTACTTTTATAATGCCGCTTCCAATTCTATATGGGCCAGCTGTGGCTGTGAGGTGGTTGCTTGCCAACCTGAAGGTCGGTGGTTCGATTCCCAGCCACTGCAATAAACATGTTGATGTAATCATTGGGCAACATACAAATGTGTGTGAATGTTGGAAAGCACTTTGATTTGTCGCAAAAAATAGAAAAGCTCTTTATAAAGTAAATGTAATCTGTTTGACATTTACCAATCTTTTTTTTATTTGACTTTTTACGGGGGTTTTTCACATTCTTGTCTCTTTATTTAATATAAAACAATGCAACAATGATGGAATAGTTATCGAAATCAGCAATATCAAAAATGGCAGGTAAGCTAAATGTTTGATAAGAACAACATATCTGAAAATCTGGTTCTCACTTAAGTATGGTGGCGCTGCAGAAAAGTCCCAGCTTAAAAATGTTATTCTACAGACTTAATAAAATAAATCCTTGTTTGGTACAGATCCCCTAATATATCTAACCTTGATTATCTTCATATATATTTTTATAATTATATGAAACATTTTTCAAAAAGGATAAATCCTTATGAAAATCGGGAATCATATCGGTTATGCCATATCCTTAAAAAGAATCCCAATTATTTATTTATTTACTATTTATCTAAAAAGATACCCTATTAAAGATGTTAGCCTACCTATTGTACTTACATTTATTTGCTGTAATAGTCAAATATTTCGCGTTGTGGGATGTCTGATTCTGATATCTGCATCTAGGTATGTCGGTGCCTATTTGCCTACACATCTGCGCCCATTCTATAAATGTGTTTCCCTGAGTGAGGCTTATCACAAATGTTGCTGTGTGTGCGCAGGAGTGTGTGACTGCCTGTGTGCCATGGCAGAGAGAGAAAAAAAAGAGTTAGAAATGGAGAGAGAGACACCATCATGCTGTTAATGACGGAGCCAGATGCGGGGAAGAGAGCAGGAGTGTAAAAAAGCTCACCACGCTCCCCATCTGGAAGGCATCGCCCCCAAATGAAGTTGTACAAAAGCATCCCATTGATAATAAAGCTAATTTTTATGGCTCTGACAAGTATGTAATTATGTTCAGCGGTGCTTTTCAGATTTTATCACAGTCAATAAACCACACTGGCAATTTCCCGTTCCCCCATTTGACATATTTACACGGATCCATCTGATTGGAGGAATTAGTTAGCTGTGAGGGCTCTGATGGATATACACTAGTGATCTGTGACTTCTGCTGCGCTCATCTGTTAGCCACCGCTCATCTGTTCACTCAGTCTTTTCTTTTCTCGCCTTCTGCCTTTCTCCTCCTTTCACACATCTCTCACACAATATTCTCTCCTTCTTTGTCTTTACTTGAGCGCCCACTGCCTTGCTTAATGACATTTCAGCAGTACTCAAGTGAAGGAGGTATCACTCCTTCCTTTCTCCATCACGCGAAAGGATTCAATATTTCATGAAATCTACTTCAATAACCTTTCACGCATTACCACCACTGTGTTTAAGCTTGCAATGCCATTGTATTTATTTTGTATTAATGTCGACGCAAGCTTGAAATGTAAAATAATTAGTGACGGATGTTTTACACTGAGCCATATTCAGTTTAGGTCAAACAACTGAGATTAGACAAATGTCATGAATTGTGTACCTTCACAAACTCATGTTGCTATTGTTGGCATTAATTGCATCTGCAGTGTCATAATACACTTTCATCCAAAATGATATCAACAAATAGAACATGAAACTGTTAAAACATATCATAAACATGTTGTCATTTAATTCAGTTTTATAAGCTTAACTGGTGTTTACATCCTTAAATATTAACGGTTTGGTATCCTTTAACAACATTTAGAAATATCTATCAAGATGAAATGTCTATAAACTGTGATGGATATGTATCAAAGACATTTTGTGCTACTTGCAAAAGTTGTATATGAATTGTAGTTTGAAGAATTATATTTTTGTCTCATGGATATCTGGATTTGAATGAATGTATACATGAATAGTTAATCAATATAGTATAAATGAGACGAAAGTTAATCTTACCCTATCTGGTTCTTGCTGCCTCTCCCCTTAGTCTGTCTTGATTTAATGTCATTTTGATAAAGGGGCGCTATTATGCTCCTTTTCAGGTTCAGATATGTTTGTTGTGCCTCTACTGTGACATGTCATGATGTCAAGACAGAATAAGGGGAGAGGCAGCAAGAACCAGATAGGGTGAGATTAACTTTCGTCTCATTTATACTTTAATGTTCAAAGCTCTTTATTCTTCTCATACGTCCTGTGCTGCAGCGCTTATTTTCACCCTCTGTCTGAAACCAGAGCCCAGTCTGCTCTGATTGGTCAGCTGGCCGGCTCTGTTGTGATTGGCCAACAAATTAGAGATGTCCCTCCCCTTAGCACGTACAATTTGAATGAGCGCTAGCCAATATAAACACATAGGTATATAGTGATGTCACTGTGTTACTGAAATTAAAAAAGGGAGTCCAATGGAGGCGTTTCAGGCCGGGGGGGACTGGGGGCGGTTTGTGGAAGAGAAACTTTGAGGTTTTAGTCATTGCAGACCATCGATTTGTACTAAAACCTATAAGCTAAAATCCCCAAAAAGCATAATAGGGCCTCTTCATTGTCATTTCTTTTACCAATGTTTCCTAATGCTTTATCATTATTTTTTACCTTCTCTCAATCTGTCTCTATAGGAGAGAAGTCTTATCTATGTGACCTGTGTGGTTTTGCTGGAGGCACGAGACACGCCCTCACCAAACACAGACGCCAACACACAGGTAAGCAGCAACACACACACACACACACGCACGCACGCACACACACACACACACACACACACACACACACACACACACCCTGAACTGATGTCCAAAACTAATCTGGGCACACACAAACTGTGCAGAGCTTCATAATCTTGGACGTTGATTGACACTCACTTTTTCTCATAGTTTTAGCAACAGTTTGCTTTCTTTCACACACACACACACACACACACACACACACACACACACACACACACACACACACACACACACACACACACACACACACACACACACACACACACACAGGCACATCAGTGTGACATGCCGCTGTCAGTGATAGGCATGTGTACCAGTATGGCTGACTGAATCTGAGATTTTTAATTTCAGTTATCATTTCACCATGTCATTCTGTCGCTTAGGGAAATTGCATTTTTCAGATAGGCTGTCAATAACGAGTGCTTTTTTTTGGAAATTGGGATAGTGAAACAAATACTGTTCTTAACCGTTGTCTGGCAGTCGCCCAAGGATCAAGAATCCTGTTATAAATATTCATTTTGGCTTTTTATAATTCATTTTGTTTGCTACCATTTCCTATTCCAAACCTCCAATTTTCTGTCCTGTGTTGACATGTGTCAATTCCACTGATTTAGCCACGCATTCAAATGTTGCCATGCAGCTGCACATGAAGGGACCACCATGTCGGACGCTGTTTGATTCATAGAGATTTTAGACAAGGCCACTGCTAATGTCAACATTTTTGTGGTTTGAATCTCTGACAACATTCTGTCATTATTTAGTATCTTATATTTCCCATGTTATGCCCAAAATGTACCATGAGTCAGTGGCTAATGAGTCTTGTCAGTACGGAAATGTCACTAAAGCTGTATTAAAAAAAAGATTGGAGACTACAAGAGTCAACTGATTGTCAGCTTTTTATTGCAGGTTTTAAACTACAACTGCAAAATAAATTAACCCCTTACTCTCTGGTCTGCCATTTGAAAAATGTTTAAATACAAAACTTTGCCATCACTACCTTGACCCTGTGAGCATGCTTTTACCATTAAGAATCAAGTCTCTATATCTTGAAGAGTAGTGCCTTTTAAAGTTACAGTTAACTGACAGTTTGAAAACTCAACTTATACTTTATCTTTTGACTACAACTGTATCCAGCATTTCATCCTAAAAAATAAATGGTAGTTCAACTACTTTTGGTGTTTAAATACAAACAGAACATTGACCACAGGACTATAAGCACACTTTACAAATAGTTCCAGATTCAAGGGATATTAATAATTGAATTGACACAAACCCTTTCTGTGCTAACACCTAAACTCCCATGCATCATTTCACATACAAACAAATCTGCAGTGTTTTGAGTAACCAAGCACACAAATTGCTTTCATTAAATGTAGATAGTGTAGTTTCACAGCAAATTAAGAACTGTTAATAGCTGTTGTTGCAGCATTATATGCCACCTTTTTTTTTAGTTGCAAGTTATGCATAATAAACAACCTAAGTTGCATAAATCGAGTAAAATGTTTCCACACGTTTCCAAACCATTTAAATTGTAGCCTACCTATATTTCAGAATCAGAGTCATAATTCCTTTATTCAACCCTAACCCTAACCCTTAGGGGATATTAACATTGTTACAGCACTATTACAGAACAGATAAAGAAAAATAAAACAGCATAGAATAATGAAGCAAGGATACAATAATACAAAAATAATTATAGCAGCCTTTCAAAAATTAAGTGAAACATGTAAAACAAATTATTAAGTATCTGCCAGCAAATGGCAGTAATAGTAAAAGTATATTATTACATGAAATACATTTGTATCTTAATATGTCTATGTGACATTAATGTCATCTTCGGCTCATCACCATCCATTGTCTCTTTTCATTTCAACCCCACAGGAGAGAGACCCTTCAAATGTAAGCTGTGCAGCTTCGCCTCCACCACGCAGTCCCACCTATCGCGTCACAAGCGCGTCCACACCGGAGAGAAGCCATACCGCTGCCCCTGGTGCGACTACAGGTACCGGCTCATTGACCCGCCCCATGGTTGGTGGAGCTGATGGCCGCCACCATGGCACTGATGATCAGGGGGTTGATAGGTGGGAGGTGGGGGGGGGGGCACGTAAGTGAGTGAGTGTGATGGTGAGATAGCAGGTGGCATTGTGTGGTAGTTTAGAGGGTAGGTGGGGGTGGGGGGGTGTTAATGCTAAAGGCTGTATGTGTGTGTGGTGGAGGGCAGACAGGTGTAATCTCCACAGCACGACTCCATCTCATCACTCTGCCATCATCAACAAGCCCAGCCAGATCTCCCCCCAACACACACACACACACACACACACACACACACACACACACACACACACACACACACACACACACACACACACACACACACACACACACACACACACACACACACACACACACACACAAACACAATGTCCCTGGCAGGTCCCTGTCATTAAAACACCATCATACCAGATCAGTAATTACACAGGAAATTGTCGGTGAAATTGAAAAAGTTTTGGCTGGCGTTGCACATCTCCATCTCTCTATATCTCTCCCTCCGTCTCCCCTTTCCTCCCTCCCTCTGTCTCTCTCTTCCTCGTGAAAGTGTGAAAGGGAACGATCTCAAACCCATCATTGGTTTTAGATGTACTCGTCATTCCTTTTTTCCCCTCTGTGACAAAGTCATTTCGGCAGCTTGCTACACCTGCTCCGCCGCAGTGAAGCGCTCTGCTCATTTCACAAGTCTTTTAATACGCAGTCCGACTTACTGAAAAAATTAAATGCTGTGACGTAATAATTGCAGTCAGGCTATTATTTCCTAATTATCACAGGAGTAACTCACCTTGTACCTAAAGTTATCATGAAGTACCTCTCTGTAATATCAATTAAGGATCGACCAGTGTGGGAGATTTTAACTGACGTTTCATTTATGATGCATACAAGGTATTCAGAGGAGGTGTCATGTGCGTGGGGTGACTGCCCTTGTCTTGTAATATGAGTTCAGAGTTCAACTACATTGTTTTTAGGCCAATGAATGGTCTGTTTACCTCTTTGGTTCAGACTGAAATATCTCAACTACTATTGGATGAATCCAACCAAACCTGGTGATGCACTGACTTTATCTTTAGAGTCACTACTTGGTTGCCAGATTTGTTTGTGAAATCGGATTGATTGCCAGGGCACTGTATACAGGACTTCATGTTGACTTCAAGTATATTGCTATGACTATCTTCTGACACTTCATCATGCACCAATCAAAGTTTTTACATGTAAAGTAAAAAATACACCTAAACATGACCTTCCAATTAGCCTTAGCTGTACTTTGTGAAGTAGTAAGTAGAAAATGCTAGCATGCTAAATTAAGATGTTGAACACTAGAAAAAATAGACCTGCCAAACATCAGGCTCTTAGGCTGCTGCCACACAAGGACGATAACGGAAACACACCGAAATCGTTATCAAAAAAGTCTTCCGTCCACACGCAATAGGCACCAGAAACGTGTCCGTCCACACGAGACAGCTCGAACCGCTGGAGACGCTGGAGACGCTGTAGACGCTGTAGTACATATGCCGGGCCTGTAAGTGGCGCTACACTTCTGCCACAAAATACACCAAAAGCAGCGGAGAAGACTTTTCGCGCATGCATGGTTGCCATGGTTGCCCTTCTGTTTATTCTCCACGCTAGATTTAGCAGCAGAGGTGGGGTTTTCGCCGGTCAACATGTCCGTCAAAGTTTAAATCTTCCGGACAAAATTAGAAAAGTGCCGGTCAAAGGTCTTCTTTGTTATTTATTGAGCTTTAAAACAAATGAATAACGACTCTATATAATAATATAAGAATAATACACGGAGGACGGAGCCTCTCTTTTCCTCCCCCTCTCCTGACAGCCCGTCAGTATCCGTGGTCTCATGCAGCTGACTGATCCAGTAATGAGTGACCCGACAGTAAAAATAAACATATTTATAACTAGTTTAGGTAGTTTGAGAGGTAATTAAAATAGCTAAGGGTGACGATCTAACTTGAAGTGTGTGTTTTGTTCCGCTCATCGCTCCATCACAGCGGGCGGAGCTGCAGGCTATCATGCAGAGCTGCGTGTCTCCTCTCCTGTCCGATTAGACTTCACTCGCGTTTATGTCCATATCGATCAAATCTAGCTGGAAGCTCCTGCTGGGTGCACTGCCCTGCGAGATACCGGGACCTGGCTCGAAACACTGGGGCTATTGCGTCATCGTTAGCAGGAAATGATCGTAACAGGGCGTAATCACGGAGCCGTTTGCCCCCCCAGAGCGTTTCGTCCGCAGATCTACCCACCTTGGGACCCGTTATCGTTTTCTGCGTTTCCATGTCGGCTTCGTGTGGCCGAACCGTCTATCTGATAGAGAACTGTAGCAGATACGACCGTTATCGTCCTCATGTGGCTGCAGCCTTAGTGTTGTCTAACTGCCTGTAGTCAACAGATACATTTTGGAATCACAATCAGATGTTTTGCACAAAACTCCATATGTACTGTGACAGACATTCTGTACCTCGTGATACTAAACCTCAGATCCCAGCAACCTGCATTTCATTGAATTGTATTCAAATGTCTTGGTAATCTTATTCGCCAAACGCTTTAGGATTGATAATATAGATGAAAAAATATGAAAATGTCTGATTTATTTTCCCTTGAGGTCACACTTTGGTCCCATATCAAACCACTACAGTTAAGTAGACTCACCCCAGAATCAGAGATACCGTAAAGCGAAAATGTTCCTGGCCCCATTGTTTCCACACTGATACTTAATGATCATTACAGATGGGGGCCAATGAAACAGTAAATTAGAAGCCCAATTAACATTTTGGTGCTCCTCAGGGGTTCTGAAAGGTCCTGAAGGCAGAGGAAGGGGGGTGGGGCAAGGTGGGAGGAGGGGGAGGTTGGGGGAAACGCCCCGCTGGCTTTCTAATGTGAGGATGAGGAATTGAATGTGCAGGCCCCAGACAGCCTCGAGGGCCCTCGCCTCCACCCCTGCTTACTCTCTGAATACATGTTTAAAAACCCTGACGTCTCTGGTGGCCTGACCGATAAGGAGGGACTAGATGACCTATGACCTCAAAATGTAAACTTATTAAAATATGGTGCCGTTTTAAAGACATATTTAGGTCTGAGACAAATGAATTAGTTGTGTGATTGACAGTTTTTGCTCATTTTTCACACGTATATATCCTATTTCCACTATTAAAATACCATATGTAATGTTATCTATGGTTCCCCACTTGATACAATGTGATCTCCATCAAGGCTGCTCCTCAAATGCATGTAAATGAGCAGGGAGTGAATGATCTATCAAATGCCACTCATCTGCTATCCAGACAGTGATAGATAATAGAGAAGGGATAATTATAGTTGGGGAATAGTAGTAAAAATATTCTAATGGGAGTCCTGGGCTGTCAATTAATGATGTATATTTGACTATTCTGCAGCTATTTATGCAAACTGCACAACTTCTTTACTCCAGTTTTTAAGGAATAATTTATATTGTTCACAATGACAAGGTTTTTTTTCCTCATTAAAGTCACTGTTGCATCTTAAGCGGTCTAATTGATACATACCCTCTGACTCCTGCCATCCTTCCATGGCTATTATTGTTTATCGAATGCCGCTTTATTCATGTTTCAATCTACCTGTTTAAAATGAGTTTCAATTGGAGGCGATGGCGGCTTTGAGGATGACACTCTCACCGTCAATGCCAGGGAGGTTTGTGACCTTGTAAAGTGAAGGGAGAGATGAGGGAGGAATGAGCAGGGGGGGGGACATTAATGATGATAACTGGGCCTCCTTGGCAGAAAAATATCCAAATGGCACCAATGATCCTAATACACCCAATTCCTTAACACACACAAAGAAACACATTTGAATCTCCTCTAACGAAGCGCCTCTCAATTACACCTCTCCCATTACCATACACTCGTTGGGAGGAGGAATATGGAAATGGCTAAAAATGAAGGGGGTGACACAGAAAGAGCTAGAGGAAGGGGTGATGCATCCTTCGAGCATCAGAATGGCTGATTCCCATGGTGAGTGCGCGGATGGGGGAGGAAGTTAAAACAGTGTTGGACTAATTAATACGGTGTATAGTAGGAGGGTTGGTGTGGGCTTTCACTAACTGTGACACCTGCTGACTCCTAAATGCACGTTGTGTTGTTTTAATATGACAATTACTCCCCCTCCCCCCCCAGGAATCCACCCACACTCTCTTTAGAACCTTTTAACTCCGCTACGAATTGTATCTATGTATGCTCCCACTTTCGCATAAGAAATCAGTTCACTTTTAGTAAAAAAATAGATGCATATTTAAGCAGCTTGATTTGCGGTAATTTATGAGCATGTGACAGTTTAAGTTCTTAGGTCTCTTTGTTTTTTTCGTTAAGCAGAAAAACAGTCAGCAGATGTTGCTATGATTTGTCAGTGAACCTGTTGTAGTTGTGCGTGACGGCTGTAATCACAACAGTGTGTTCCAATCTGTTGGCTAAATGATTGAGAATATATCAAGTCAATGAAAATCTCATTTATACTTTAAAAGCTCTTCACACTCCTTACACTTGGCATTGATGGAAACCTACAAGACCTTGAATGTATATTACTTTTATACTAGGCCTAAGTAAAGCATCTTTTTTTCCGGGGCTTCTTTTTATAAATATAATATTTAGTCAGGTATTCTTGTGCTGCATATCATTTCAGAATTAAAGGTGGGGTAGGTAAGTTTGAGAAACCGGCTCGAGATACACTTTTTGTTATATTCCATGGAATGCTCTTAACATCCCAATAGCAATGAATATCTTAAGTGCAAAAATGTCATCTGTGGAAGCTGTAGTACTGTATAAAGCACGACCAATCATCTGAGCCGGCCCGGCTAAAGTAACTGGATGGCCTACCTGCCTGTCAGCCTTCCATCTGTGCACAAACTTATCTCGTGCCCTCATTGGTCATGTGCGCGTTCGTGTGTGTTGGAGGAGGGGCTCTGTAAGGAAGTAGCAAATTTCTTCCGGCTGTGTATTTTCAAATTCTAGCGCACTCGAGCCGGTTACCTACCCCACCTTTAAAGGATGACAAGTATTGCTTAACTTTAAACCAACTCCAAATACCTCACTTTCTTTGAGCCTAGCATGACCGTTTCCAACATAAATCAAACGTTCATGAATTAGATATTTCTTTATATATCTAATTCAATAAACTGGTAAAACACACATTCCTACACTACTGTAAGTAACCACTTAAAAAAAATACCCCAACCGACTCCAGTGTTGACTTTTGTGAAGAGCCGTCATTGTTCACCAGTGGCAAATGCTTATGTTTTTCATACAACATCAACAGAACCCAGTGAGGGCTCTCCTTTTTTCTTTGTAAGGCCCCAAGTGGATCTGGGCTGGACTTGTGGCCCCATGATGGAGAGAGGTGTCTCTGCAAAAGTGAAAACAAATTCTCTCCTTGGCTGGCGTGAGCTATGGCACTGTGAGGCTTTATTGTCCCGGCCAAGGTGATAAGGGAGAGTAATTGCGTATTATACTGTCCGAGAATGTCAGGTCCAAACTGAGCACGAGTGCCCAATCCATCAACACATGACGCTGTGTGTTTATGTGTGTGTATGAAACTGTGTTCTACACTGCACATGCTTCGCTTGCATGATGCATTATGTGCTTTCTTGTGCACATGTGTGTAAGTGTTTATGGATTCATGTCTGTATATCTGCAACCGTGAAGTCATATCAGAGATTTGTATTTTGGCAAAGGTTTGTTTATGTCTATGTTTGTATGAATGTATGTGCATGTTTGTCTCTTCAGTACCCCATTTGTGTGTTGTGTGTGTCTGTAGGCAGGTTTAGATAGAGCCTGTGAGCAGGTCAGGCAGCATCATTAATCAGAAGAGGGTTGTGTGTGAGTCTCTGAGCTGACATCATTACATCCTACACCCTGCAGTAGCTCACTGCCCTATCTGAACCGCCCAAAGACCCACAAATTCCTACACGCACACACAAATATTACTATACCTTTCATACTATTACTAAAAGATACATAATGCATAACAGCTGTCTTAGGACACCTCAGATATGAAGCAAAAGAGTGACAGTAAAAGAATGATCCAAAAATAAAGCTTATGTTATTTCTTACCCTAGAAAAAAAGTATATATCCCGCCTTGCTTTCACCAATGCGTTACAGTTTCCTCTCAATTTGCTTCATTGTGGCCACACATTAATAAACTTGCAGGACCTCAGGAATTCAACCATTCATAACCTGATTAAGACCAAAGCAATTACACTATAGGTGGTTTGAAAAGTCATTGAAAGTACACTTGTTAACTCCCTTTTCTTCAAGAGATGATTTTACAGCGAACTTTAGATTCATGCACAGTCTCACAATGAGCTTCATCCACTGCTACCGTCACCACCACAACACATCCAACCCGATCTATCCGTGTTTCGCTTGGTCTGTTTCACAGAGGCGTATTTAGGCAATGAATGCTTTGAGAGTGTGTGTCATCATTGCCACAAAATAAAACGTTAGTAAAACAAACCTTTCTGGGGAAAGTTGCCAAGTGGTTTATTTCGTGTTTTCTCCCTCATGACACTCGTCTTTTAATCATTTTTTTAATTTTTCTATATATTCCAAAAAGCAATGAGGCCCTCTTATCTTTGTTTGTCTCCCCCAGATCTAACTGTGCTGAGAACATCCGGAAGCACATTCTCCATACGGGCAAACACGAGGGCGTGAAGATGTACAACTGTCCCAAATGTATCCATGCCACCAACTCACCCATGGAGTTCCGCAACCACCTGAAGGAGAGCCACCCAGATATTGAGAATCCAGACCTTGCCTACCTACATGCAGGTATCTAATTGTTCGATTTCTACTCTAGAATCCTGTTCATAGAAAAATTCACCATTATCCCTAATGAGAAGTCTCTAAGGAGTAAGACATATATATATATTTAGAGCATTGCCTTGATGACAGTCCTCAGAACGTTTGTGTTTGAAGGGCATTGGAGCTCCATGCTTACAGGAATGTCTAGCCTGAGTTTAACCGTGAGGGGGGGTTGCCCATTCCTACCAAAGTTTGAGTATATCATGGGAAATATAGGATCCAGAGTTTCCTGTGCTTCTTTGATTCTAGGGACTAAAGATAAGGATATATCATCTATTGCTGTTGCTGCTCTTTACCAATCTTTTTTTTTAACATTATGAAGGTGCCAGAGGAAATCAGGAAGTGCACATTTAAGTTCCTATGTTGAGGATAGCTTGGAACATATTGTCTATCTCATGTTTTCCCATTTTTTCTGCCATTTTGACCATGTAACTTTCCATTGTCTGACCTACCTCTCGAAACTTCTTCGTTTTGATTCTTAACTTGAACTCAAACATCTACGCACACATACAGTATACCGAAAGATAAATAAACGTTTGGATTCACTGTATTAGACCAGCTGGCTGACCCAACTACCCTGCCCAGGCTCTATCATTCCACAGAGGTCAGATCTTCCAGAATCCTTGAGCTTGTTTCTTGTCTATGCTTCGAGCCCTGCTATTCAATGCTGATGGAGGGCACCCAGACACAAAGAGGCAGCACTCGAAGATTGCCCGTCCAGCCATCCCTGCCACTCACTCAGGCCACGGAGACAGATGAAATCTTGTTCTTCCACTATTGGTTCCTTTGTATCCCAGTGTTCCTCCTTTGTCCTTGAAGGCCACCAAATCCAATCGCCAGAGTGCTTGTCCTTCAGGGGAGCAGAGAGGACAGCCTTTATCCTGTTATTCCTTTGACCTTACATAAAGCAGTAGAGTAGGAATAGAGCACCATGGGGGAAAAGGCCAGGCAGGGACATTTCTGGAAAATGGCTGTATTCTTATTTCCTGTTGAAACTAAATGGAGTGTCTTTGTGCTGACTCTGAAAAGTTTATCAATCTGGCTTATTCTTTGTCGGTATAATTTATTTTCTTCCTATTCAATGACCAACTTCTGTCTTTGATCTTCTTTACTTCCATGTCCTAACCTCTCGTCGCAACCTTTTTACCTTCAACTTCTCTTAAAACACCTTCTTCCTTCATATTCTCCATACCCTCTCACCTTTAACCAAAGCACGCCTTTACGCTTCTTCTAACCCTTTCACCCCTACAATTTCCCCAACCTCTATTTGTCCTTATGCACAGCTGACCTTTTGTAGAATAAGATGCATTTTGTTGAATTTTGTCCACCTTTGTGTTGCTTGTTAAGAAAACTATAATCATCCAGAGTAAAGAAGGATACTTCTCTATCCACGTCAAAGCCAATGCTGTGGCCTCATCTTAAAGGTGGCTATTATCTTACTGTGATTCCACACAGCTAAGAAAGCAGTATGGGTTTCAGTTTTCAGTGTTATGAGTGAAGGTCAGATCTTGTCTGGAACTTGCGTCGTCTTTCCGGGGAAAACATATCCTTCTCCTTCAGTCAAGTTAAGCAGCATGTTTTCAAGATGTCATCATGATGCTCTACTTCATATTCTGGTCACAACATACCACAGATATGAACCCAAAGAATGACAGCAAAAGTAATTAACTCAAAATACAGCTTATGGTGTTTCTAACCCTAGAAGATGAAAATGTACAGATCCTACTTTGCTTTCGACAATGCATAACAGCATCCTTAAAATGTGACTTCATTGTAGCAACACGTAAATATACTATTGCAGGACTGCAGAAACTCTGGCCCTAACCCTAACCCAACCTGATTAAGACCAAAGCAATCAAGCTGTAGGTGGTTTGAAAAATCATTGAAAGTACACTTGTGATCTCTCCCTCTCTTTCAAACCAGGGGAAAAGGAGGTGGGGGTGGTAGCAGGAAGAGCAGTGTTTTATCTAAGTAGACAGAACGAGACCAAAAGAAAGAGACAGGGGGAAAAAAGATTAAGAAGGTAGATGTTGAATTAACCTGCTTGTGATTGCTCTCTGTCAGAGTGGCACCAGGGCCAGCAGCGAGAAGCAAATCATCTGTGATGGCCCTTCCCGCTGTTCCCCCTTTGAAAGACACAGATCAAACGCACACTAGTCTCTTGCAGCCCCTTGCGCCGGATTGATTGACACCCGAACGTCTCCACCGCCGCTCTGTCTTTCCATATCACCCTCTCCCTCTCGCTCTCCTTCTTCCCTTCTTTATTCAGCGTCGCACTTCGAAATTAAAGCCCCTTCTCAAGGATGAAAGCAGAGGTCCTTTGCGAACGAAGGAAGAGAGGGAATTAGACCCAGCTAGTGATGGAGGGGAATGATGATTAGAATTAGAGGGGTAAAAAGGAGGTTAGATGTGTGCGGAGAGAAATGTTGCTGATGGGACACATTTTAATAAAATGTTAATGACAATAGTCTTCCTTGTGCGATCTGCACAGAGATACGCCAGGAGAAGTGGCGTTGAGATCTCGGCTGAGATAGCACTGCAGCAGAAACAGGGCTACAGGTAGCTCGGAGTGCTGCGACTTTGTTAAAGTACCCCTCTGCTTTCTTTCTAGTTAAAATGCTGCTAGTACCCTATGACTGGAGCAGCTTTGGGAAATCGTACATTTCCTTCTTCCTTTGCTATCTCCCTCCAGCGAGGTCAGCCGTGGTTTCAGGGCAATGGCTTTGTTAAATCAGCCTCCTGTCCTGTTCAGTACCTAATAACTATATTAAAAACACACAGACACACACACACACACACACACATACACACACACACACAAAGGTGAGCTTTGTCAGAGCATCTTTATCCTACGTTTTTAAATTGTGAAACATTTCCCTTATTTTCAACCAAGGTTATAATTGCACATCTTGGGGGCATAGCGATCAAATGCTTTGTAATTAGCTAACAGCGACTCAGTACTTGGATCTGCTGCTTAGCGCCCTAAAAAGATAAAACAAATAAATAAATAAACTTCTTGGAGGCATTGTTTCTGCCTTATGCAGATTCTATTTTCCTTAATAATGCATGATGGATGGCTCCTGTGGAGGGCTGGAGGAGACCTGGCCTTGTAAGTGATGATCTTAATACACAGTTACAACCACGGGCAAATTCATTTGTTTGCATATATTTTTCCTTATTAAACAAATCTGTAAACAAATATGGGTTTGGATGGCTTTTACTTAAGTTATGCATCTGCGCGCTTCCCCGGCTCCCCTCCCTCGCCTTCACCTTCTGTTCATCATGTAATGAAACATTACTCTCCTGAGTTTTACTTGCGTATTGTGTTACCGCGGCGTGTTGCATTGTGGACGACAGGTGTGTGTGTCATGCAAATGTGTCCTGGTATCCCGGCGCATATGACACTGTGTCGACGTTGTGAAAGAAGCCACAGACACCGACGATAAAATCAACATCTGTTTCTAATAACAATGTGTTATATGTGACACGTTTCTGTGTCAGGAAAATATGTGAAAAAAACAAAGCATCACAGTTCTTTGAAAAAAACACCTACAGGACATCAAGTCGTCAGCGCCAGTGATGAACCTGCGTCTTTGTGTCACCGTCCTTATGTTGCTCGCACATGATAGGCATTAATGAAAAAAGTAATTCTGTTCCCTAAAATGTAAAGTCAGATTAACAGGGGGGCTCATTGTGCTGATGCTGTCAGAGCATAGATTGTTTTACGTTGACTAGTATCTTACAAAGTTCAAAATTAGGGATGTGTTGGCTTTACATAAAGCAAACCAGTAAATCAAATAGTTTTCCCACTTTAGTCAAGTGTCAAAGCAGTATAAAACATTGGATGCAGTTTTCTGAATGTTTTGCAACACGAGCGGTTTACCGATTCTAAAAGTCTATGGTTGGGTTCAGTCCCGGTTTTATTCTATCGTGTTGGTGGGTGGAGATTATAGTTGTTGTTTTTTAAATCAAGTTCACACACCAGGTTAATTTCACAGAAAATGACAAGATAAAGAGACACATTGCCATCAACTGACTTTGTTTATGGAACTGCAATCTCAATTTGATTAGCCAATTAAGATCTAATGCATATTAGCCACATTATGCTATGTTTAGGCCTAAACATAACATAATGTGGCTTTGTGTGGTCAAACTATGTCGTCATTTCAGTTTTTACAAAACAAACTATTTGTGCCTCCAGTATGAGGGCATTACTGAGGCGCTGATCTTTCTGAATTTTTTAATCTTCTTTTGAATACTTTCTCCGCGGATGTAAACAACAACGCAACGTCAAAGATCAGTAAAAACAAAGCGGTCTATGCCGTCTGACGTTGTATTTGACACAATTTTCATATTTCTTGAGTAGTTCAGTTTTTGACGAACATAAATATGATTTTCGGCATTTTGGTATGAGGGTGCAGCGCCCCTGTTACCCGGTTAAGACAAAACCCTGGCCTCTATTTGTTGTTTTGTCTCCATCATATCTAATTTCCCTAACCACACAAAGAAACCTGCATGTAGAAACTTGAAGATAAGCTCATGCCAGTGTCGGGGTGTTAATTGGAGAACTCCCACATGGAGGAACACCTTTCAGCTTCATCTGGTCTTGAATGGTTTACTCTGGGAACTGAAGTGAATTGTGAGTTCCTAACCCCAAATCCTTCTTCTGCCCCTTCATCCCACCCTTTTCTCTTTGGCTGCTCTGTGCTTAATACCAACGTCATTCCCTTCACACACTCCCCATGTAGTCTTGGTTGAGTTATTACAGTTGAGAAGCATCTGCTCAATGCCAGTGTGTCCCAGGAGACATGCAACACAGGTTGTCTGTGAGGGTTTTTGGGGGGTTTAGCTAAGCGGTTTATGGGAAAATGCACACTGTCGGTTGCATGCATCTCAGCAAACCAATACAGGGCCCGTCTGGGCCGAGCAGGCAGCAATTCCTGCATAATGACCTGCTCCAATGAGCG